TAAAGGGTTTTCCAATAAGAGGTGTTATTTTGAATAGCCCGTTATTTCGGTAGATGTCACTTTTGAAGCTGTCATTTTTTGACATTTGACAAGTAGAAAGTACGCCATTAATAAAAATGGAACGATACACGCTTCAACAACGCATTGAAATTATTAAAATTCACTATAAAAATGGTGAAATTTTGGCAGAGACGGTTCGTAAAACTCGAACATTTTTGGGTCGTCGTGAAGCACCTTGTCGGACCGCAATACAGAAATTGGTGGAAAAATTCGAGCTGTTGGGACAAGTTAGTGATGTGAAGAATAAAACCCGTGCACGTCGCTCAAGAACAGCCGAGAATATTGCTGCTGTAGCCGAAAGTGTTGAAGAAAACCCAGGTTTGTCCATTCCTCGTCGTTCTTTGGAATTAGGCATTCCACAAACGTCATTACACCGTATTTTGCATAAAGATTTGGGTCTTAAGGCTTATAAACTTCAGTTAACACAAGAACTCAAGCCGTCCGATCATCAACAACGTCGTGTCTTTGCTGATTGGGTCGTTGAAATGCATGAAAATGATCCGGAATTCCATCGAAAAATCATCTTGAGTGATGAGGCCCATTTCCACCTCGATGGCTTCGTCAACAAGCAAAATTGTCGCATCTGGGGCTCGGAAAACCCAAGAGTTATTGTTTAAAAGCTTCTCTATCCTCAACGTGTGACTGTTTGGTGCGGTTTATGGTCCGACGGAGTCATTGGACCTTACTTTTTCGAAAATGAGGCTGGAGCAACATGGATTGCGCTATCGAGAGATGATTAATGATTTTTTATGGCCGGAATTGGATGGTATTGATGTGGACAACGTTTACTTTCAACAAGACGGTGCTATTTACGTGCCACACAAGCAACGAAACCATTGACCTTTTACTGGAAAAGTTTCCGGACCGTGTTATCTCTCGAAGAGGTGGCCACCGAGATCTTGTGATTTAACACCTTGCGACTTCTTCCTTTGGGGCCACGTGAAAGAGAAGGTGTACGCCAGCAGCCCAGCGTCGATTCAAGACCTCAAAGATGGAGTTCGTGAGGCTATTGAGGACATAGGGCAGCCACTTTGCAATTTGGTTATGGAAAATTTCATGGAAAGGATATTGTCCTGTAAGCGTGGTCGTGGTGGTCATTTGCCTAGTGTTATTTTCCACTATTAACGGCTACCTTCTTCTTTATAATGAAATAAACATCCGATCATTTATACTAAAAAATGGCATTTTTCTTTGAATATCAAAATAACACCTCTTATTGGAAAACCCTGTATAACAAACTTTTATGAAATTTTTCAACGATCAGCTTTAACTATCCTCGGTATATCAACTTTGATATCAATACGTGAGTTGTTCTTTATATTTTAATTATAATATTACAGTAAGATCACTGATTTTATTGTTGTTTTTATCTGATTGAATTGTATTTATCTATTTTTTAGATTTGAAGAAGTACTAATAAACTCTCTAGGCTCTCGATTTACAAGGATTTTTCTACGGAATGTCATTATTTCCTCTTTATCGTAATTATTTCTTATAACAAAACTATTGTTTATTAATTAATTAATAAACGTTAACGTAATTCACTTGAACGTTATTTTGTCCAAGAACTAGACCTTATTTTTATTCTTGCCGATCGGTAAGTGCTTGTGCTGAATTTAATAACGTCAGGGTCGTCGTAACTCCTGACTTTAATATAAATCCCATCTCCTCCGTTTTCAGCGTGATTCCCGCCGCTTCCTCTCCGCATTTCGATGTCCGTTAACTTAAAACAATTAACTTCGACGTTCTCTCGACGAGAGTTCATTTCAATATTAATTGTATTGATGTATGTTTTTAATAAATTTGAAATCGTTGGTTTGCTGTATTAAAAATTTCCTTAAAATTTCTATTTGGATGGAAAATGAGTCTCGGTAGGGTGCAGGTGCAATTTCTCCCGTAATAATATTTTAATTGTGCTAGAAGGTTCCGACAGGGTACGAACAAAGACGTGTACGTCTTTTGAGAAATATCCCGTGTATTTTCCTGAAAAGAAAGGTTAATTAAACGAAAGAAGTAATCGCAGTGGAAATGACGTTACAATTAGATGCTTTTGTGATCTTTTAATATTACACCTGATTTGTTTTTAACTTTAATGAACTGCTTTAATTTCTCCGGACTTTAATCAACTTTCGTCTCATTTTATTGCCTTATTACGTTATAAATTGCGATATTAAAACGTGAAAAATAAGTTCATATTAATTTTTAAATTGATCATTGTCATGAATATTTTTATTTTTACTGTGAAGCATAAGTCGTTATGATTTTATTTGTGGAGTTAAATTTTATTACCGAATCGCGTTAAAAGGGTTGATAAAAAAAACTATATATATGTTAATATTTCTCACGTTAGCCGTGCTAAATTTACATTTATATTGTCACCCTGAGGCTAAAACTTTTTTTTTGTTGGGTTAACATCTTTAATTTTGAATGGATTAATTTATATCAAAGTAAAAACATCTTTTTTCATATTAATAATTTAAATCTAATCTCTATTTATGTACATAACGGTATATACACATTTATTTAGCGCTATCTGCTTCTCAACATTACATCAGCTGTCACCTGTATTTCATCGGGGATTACGTTGGCGTTGTGCAAGCTGTTACACGATGTTCTTGTTGTTGTTTAGGGAATTAAATTGTGGCAGTCCTGTGTAAAATCTATTAATTGACGTATAAGGGAACCAGTATAATTTGGATTGTTATGATTTTAGAGAGGTTATAAAAATAACACTATTTTAAATTAAATTATACTAATTTCTTTAAACGTTAGATACTACCGTCAATATTAACCTTGAGATTGCACGAGGAGATTCGCCAATCGGCAAACAGAGGCGAAGTTAGTAAAAGTTAATAAAGTTCAGAGATAAGTAGCCACCATAGTTTTTTTAATAAACATTAGATATTTCAAATGAGTTTCATTTCCTTTGGTATATGAGTAATTGGACGCGTAAACTTTCCCAAAGTTCCACTTTCCTTCTACATAAATTATACCTTTCATGTAAAATGTATCACAAAGTTTGCGATTCATTACTGCAAATGTGGCATAAAATGGTTTACAAACTAGAAACTCTAAACTTCCTTAGGATCTAAATTGTTTCCAATTAAATTACAAAATTTGTGTATTCATATTTTTATTTGATACCAACAATATTTCTAATTGTTTTTTTAAAATTAGATATGGTCGTTGGGTTACAAGAAGAGTAGCCGTTGGTACAATCGCAACAATATGGCTTCTGGCCGGTCTTATTTCATTCGTCCCAATCTCTCTTGGATTACACAGACCGCCGGATCCTCCGCCAATTTACAATGCTGGAGGTCAAAACTATTCAACGTGCGCCTTGGATTTAACACCGACATACGCCGTTGTGTCTAGTTGTATTTCATTTTACGTCCCGTGCATAGTCATGATCGGTAAGTTAAAATCAACAATCAATTTAAACAAGTATGGTTGTGTAAATAAACGGGTGTTACAAGATTTCGAATCGATACGTAGGCACAGCTGCTGAAACTAATTCTCTAAGATTAAGTTGAGTAACGTTGATGGTTTCCAACAACAGGTGGGCTAAATTGAAAAACAAATATATGGGGGTGCGTTTAGGTATTAGCAGGATATTGTCTAATATTTCTTACAACGTTTAATTAACACACACACACATTCGAAAGTGTAGTGTAAAATATTATACAATAAGGATTCAATTTGAAAATTGAAACGGATTAAAAATAAATAAACTTTAATGGTTTTAATATAAAACTTCGACTGAGTCACGAAAGCCAAACGTACAAAAGTTGAAACTTGAGATTCTGGGCGCGAAGGTGCTATTGAAGTAAATTTGCATAGATAAACTAACTGGATAAGGTAGTTTTCGAGACAGCCTCAGAATAATATAATATTTTAGCAAATTTGATGAAAATTTAATGTGCCATAAATAACACAGGCCGACAAAAATTTAAATGTTTTCTAAACCAACAACTAGACTATACTATCCCGAAAGTTTTTCACGTTCTAAATCCAAATTTAACCTCAAAAATGCTTCATCACGTAAGGTTTTCAAAATATCTTAGCCAAAATATGTTAAAAATGCGGTTTCTGGTCGTATTTGTGGTTATAGTTCACATGAGGGAGTTAAAAAAAACAATTTTTTTTAAAAGTTCCCCTTTAAAACTCTTTTTCAATTACTTAAATATCTTTTTTCTTCTTCGAGATATCATCTGTTGAAATTAATAAGTACATCGGTTGAGATCATGTTGAGTTACATCAAGTTAGCGATGTTGACGCACAGTAAAACAAATATGCGAAAATGTGATCAAATATCTAAAAATGAAGTTTTAAAGTTGAAATTTTTAACCATGCATTTATCTTTTAACCAGGAGGTATTCAATTGAGAAACTGGACATTCAAAATCTAGTTAATTTTTATGACTTTATTTGGTTTGTTAGCAAAGTTGTAGTTTTAATGGGAAAACTATAGCAGTATTTACAAAAATAAAATGATTGTTTACGAGATTTATTCATTCAAAAAGAGACAATTTACATATTATTTTTTATTTAAGCTCTATAGCGTTTTATAAGATGAAAATCAAAACCATATTGGATTTCCTACAAAAAAATTTTAAAACGATGGAATGTTAATATAAAAAAATATGAGGCGGAAAGCTTATTCTTTAGTGACTTTTTTGCGGAAACTTCGAAACACGTCCTTATCACAGAACCATTAACATCTATTTGTACTACTTGTAGATTAACTCTGATTAATTGGAACGATATGAAAAAGGAAGTTGTCATTACACCAACCATGTGGTACGAGCCTAAGGATCACAATGAAGACTGTTACTTCTGTGCCTGTGATATAACAGGTTGTAATAAAAAAAATAAAGGAAACATATTATATTCTAACGTACAAAGCGTAACACCAGCCAAGAAAGGAAAAATAGCGAGATTAGACAAAGTACCACCTAATAAACATGAATGTTGTTTGGAAGAAATGAGTTCTGTTGAAAGTGAAAAGGACAGTGATTATGAGGATTCTGTTAGTGCCAAAGACCCTGAACTTTTTGATCAAGATTCATTAGATGATCTTATTCTTTCTAAAGATTCAGCTGAATTATTGGCTTCAAGACTTAAAGAGAAGAACATGTTGTTACCCGGAACAAAAATTACAGCGTACAGAAGAAGAGATGAGGAATTTCTGAAATATTTTGCTAGTGAAAATTCCTTAGTTTATTGTAATGATATAGAAGGACTTATCAATACATATCAAGTAGATGTGTATAAGTCCGATGACTGGCTTCTCTTTATAGATTCTTCTAAAGAACGCCTTAAAGCAGTGTTGCTCCATAACAGCAATAAATACGCAGCAATCCCTATTGGTCATTCCACCAGGCGAAAAGAATCATAGGAAGACCTTCAATTTGTACTCGAAAAAATCAATTACAACATCCACAACTGGTTTATATGTGGTGACTACTTTAAAATGATTAATATTTTGGTTGGTTTACAATCAGGAAATACAAAAAATCCTTGCTTTCTCAGCATTTGGGACAGTCGTGCCCGAGAACAACATTGGATTAAAAAAAAGTGGCCTGAAAGATTTGATTGAAAAGTTGGTTCCAACAATGTTGTTTACAAGAGTCTTGTTGACCTCCACTCCATATCAAATTAGGCTTGATCAAACAATTCGTAAAAGCCTTAAATACTTTTAAATACCTTAAGTCTGCATTTCAAAATTTAAGTAATGCTAAAGTTAAGGAAGGTATTTTCGTGGGGCCTGATATAAGAAACTTAATGAAAGATGACGATTTTATAAGAACAATAACAGATAACGCAAAAAATGCTTGGTTAAGTTAAGAAGTTGTACAAAATTTCTTGGGCAACCATCGGGACCCACAATATAAAAACATTGTATCGACAATGTTATTAAACTTTAAAAAATTAGGCTGTTTAATGAGTTTGAAGCTACATTTCCTATTTTCCCATTTGGATTACTTTCCGGAAAATGTAGGAGCCTTCAGCGAAGAGATGGGTGAACGATTCCATCAGGATTTGAAAGAAAAAGAGCGACACTATCAAGGTAGATGGGATGAAAGAATGATGGCTG